TTTTTTTTTTTCTTTTTTTTTTTTAAAGCCAGACCAATGTCACTAGAGTTTTGTGTCGATCTCTCTGCAGAAGGTAACTTGAAATTTTCAGAGATTGGCTTCAGGTCTCGGAAGGGCCATAAGGGGCGTCGTTCAACACTCCTCGGAGGGTCCTCGAGCTCCGAGGACGAATCCTCGGAGTTTTTTTCATTTTTGGAGGCGTCGTTCCACCTGTCCTCGGAGAGTAGCCCCGAGGATGCATCCTCGGGGCCGTCCCGCGGCCAGTTTCATGAGATTATAGACGGCCACGAGGGTGTCGTCCAACCTCCGATTCGGGATGTCCGTGTGCGAGGCGCGGTGGTCCACCAGCCGGACGGCGGCAAAACGTCACGTGGAAAATAAAATTGCGAGCGCGGGAACGGCCCCGTTCGAAATTCGAAATTCGAATTTTCTCCGCGCGGAACGACGGTGTGGCGGCGCACAGGCGGAAGAGCACGTCGACTGGGGGACGAGCGCGCAGGCTTGACGTCGCGTTTCGTACTTCAGCGGCTCCGTGCCGCCACCGTGTGTACTGTGTTCGTCGCAGGCAAAACAAAGCGGTGTGTCTTCTCCTGCGCTCGCCACGTGCATGCGAGCAGCGCTTTCGTGGTTCAGGGACGGAGGACGAACGCTCCCATCGCGGTGTAAGTTTTGTCATCACGCCTGTCTTCCACACCTCGTCGTAGGCGTCTTCGATCGTCGCCGTGGACGTTCATTCGCGCAGGTGGGTGGCGGTGGACGTTGCTCTTCGTCGTGGACGTGCGGGAATGGAGGGATGCGATGGGGGTGGCCGTGCTGTGCTGTCGCGGATGGAAAGGACAGCTGTCGCGGCGGCTGCCGTTGCCGTAGTCCGTCGATACGAAGCGGAGAGGGCGGCGGGCCGCATGAAGGCAGCGCTTTCCAGGCGACGACACAGGCTTCTGTTGCAGAGGGTGTTGGACGCCCCGGACTGCATCACGACTTTGGAGGCCGTGGTTCAGCTGTGCACTGCAATCGGCTCCGGTGTGCTTTCCAGGGCGACGCCACGTTGGTGGATGAGGCGGAGAACTGGCAGGACTTGGGAGGATTTGCGGGTGTGCGATGACACGACGGATGACTACTTTCGGGAAAAGCTCCGCATGTCGAGGACAGTGTTCATGGAGATCACTGAAGCCTGTGCGCCTCATTTGCAACGACAGGTCACGTTTTACAGGGGGCCGCTTCAGCCGGATCAGATCGTCGCGTACGCGCTGTATAGGTGGGCAACAGGAGAGTCGTACGACAACAACACATCATCGTTCGGCATTGGCAGAGCATCCGGAGTTCGAGCCGTGCGCGATGTGACAGCCGCGTTGTTGAGGGTCTACGGGGACAAGATATCGTGGCCGGCGGGGTGCGTAAACACGTGGTGCTTCGGGCGTTTCAGGACAAGGGCTTTCCCAAGTGCCATGGCGCAGTTGACTGCACACACATCTACGTGGACAAACCGGCGAACGCTCCGAGCGAGAACTACTTCGACCGCAAGCACCGTTTCTCCGTCATTGTGCAGGTGGTGGTGGACCTGGATCTGCGTGTGCTTGACGTCTTCGTTGGCTACCCGGGCAGCTGCCACGACATTCGGGTGATCCAGCTGTCAAGTCTGTCGAAGCGCGCGGAAGAGGGAACGCTTTTTCGTGGGCCACCTGTAACGCTACCGGGAGGAGTGACGACGAACGGATACATCTTGGGCGACAACAGGTATCCTCCTTCAGAATGGATAGTGGTGCCGTACGGAGGAATCAATCAGCACCCGGACGAGGAAAGGTTCGACAACAAACAGAAGGTCGCTAGAGGTGCTCTGGAGAGGGCGTTCGGGAGGTTAAGGGGATGAGGAGGCTCTTCCTGCGGTCGCACAAGACGAACCTGGAGACTTTGCCGCAGCAGTTCACGGCCATCTGCATTCTCCACAACATCCTGCTCGATGCTGGAATCGAGTTCGACGAGAACTTGTTGTGGGAAGTCGACGAGATCGGGGTGAGGCGGCGAGTGGACCTGGGGATTCATCGCCCACTGCAGCCAGTGACGATGCTCACATCGACGGACGCTGCACACGCGCTCCGCAATGCCCTTACAGAGCGAATGAAACACATCTGATCGTGCGTGTCGCGCCACTCTGTCTGGCGTGCACAAACAGAAGCCGTGTGCGTCCGTGGTGGAGTCGCAGCGCTTGCGTCATTCACGAATGCGCGCAGTTGGCTCGCAGGGTTTGCAGTGGCGGACGACTCGTTTGTAGGTGTTTGTTGTTGTAGTCGATGGTAGTGTGATTCTCCAGGTCGTGGGTGATCGGCAGTGAAGCGGGTCAATTGTCGCCGGTGATCGGCAGTGACGTCGCTGTTTTTTTTTTCGTTCTTCATTGATGTAGTCCTTGCCGCGCAGCGTTCCCGCGCAAATCCGTGGGGGGGGGTTCGGTGCTTGTTGGGTGGTGGCGCGGAGCACGTCGACACCCTTCTGTTTCGCATGTGCTTTGGATCGCTGGTTTGCTTCAAATTATAAGATATTTGTATTTTTTTATTTATTTGTGTGAGGTCGCCGTCCTTGGTCAGGGTGCTGTCCGTCTTTTGATGACACGTGTTTTCTGTCAACCACATGTAGCGTCTGTGATGCATGTTGTCTGCAGTACTCGGCGTTCGGTTGATGCTGTTGGTGAAGCTTCGATGTTCAACTGATGACGACCACGTGTGTGGAATGAAATGTAATCAACAAACACTTTTCTCGTGATGGGTTCATATTTTGGTAAATGGTTGAGAACCCTCTTGTAATTTTGTCGATGGGTTCGTGCATTGTTTGTTTTCGTTTTTTTTCTTCTCTTCCCCTTTATATGTGCTTTTCAACATGAACAGAAGTTGTGGACGACATGGCGATGAGCAATAACAAGAGCATGAGAATAAAAGTTATGGACGCGATTCAGATGATCATTAACGATTATCGTGCATGATAGACCCGCATACGATAGAAGAAAAGCAGCAGTGGTTGAGCAATAAGAAGCATACAGTCACACGACGTTCACACAGAAACAAAAATGATTGCATAAAATCCGTTGAAGTACATAAAAAGTTGTGGCGGCGACCGACTTTTCTCCTACCTATCCACACTCCTTCCCCACTATACACCCTCCAACCGTGAACCACGAAGGACAAACCAATCCTGCCGTTTGCGCAGTGCTGCCACGTGTCACCCCCATGATTAACAAACCCTTTTGTGGAGCACGACCAAAAAGTGTGCTCCAATTCCTAAAAAACTAAAAAAAAAAAAAAAAAAAAAAAAAAAAACCACAGGAGCCGCTCACAACACACGCAATACACAGCCATCTGCCGACGTGGCCACGTCGGTGGACCGCGCAGTCTTCGCCACCCTTATCACTCGACGCGGTGAGAGATGTTTCCGCACCTCCGCCTTGACAGACTACTGCGCAGGACCTGGCACCTCAGCTATTCGCCACACCCCCCACCCCCAGCACCTGGCAACACCCATCCCGCCTCTGCGCTACTGTGTCCACTTGAAGGCGCACGCTTCGTCTACTCGTCACCACCGTCGACGAAGCGCCGACGATGCGCACCAACCCGCTGCCACCTTTGGGCAAGATGACGTGTCACTTGCCATCATCTCCATCGTCATCCGCCGCGGGCCCGCTGCCGATCCACCCGTGTTTCGCGGCCTCCGCCGCATTCTTCAGGGCAGCGTTGTGCCCAAACGCCAACCCGCAATCGCACCATTCCGGAATGCATTGCTGGTAATCTCCAAGTGTGAGGTGAGCCTTCCCTAAACGATCGAGGACAAGGTTGGCGGAGTCCACCACGTGTCGGCGCCAGTTGAAGATGTACGACCCCGCCGCTATCATCGTCGGTTTCGCGACCATGGACGCATACGACCATGCCTCGTAATGCGATCGGTCGTCGTCACCTCCCATGCGCATGATCCACATGACCGCGCACAACAACGCTCGCAGACTGTCCGCCAGCCTGGACAACCTCTCCTGTTTTACACGCCCGCCATCCGCCCACTGTCCGCACTACAGCGCATCAGTCCAACACTCCGCCAGCAAAAGAACTGTCACCTCCTGCCGCACCGCCATGTCGTTGTCTTCCGGGCGGGCCTCTATCTTCACCCCCGCGAACCACAGAGGCACGTCCATCTTCATCGCCAACGTGTGGTAGACGAGTGCAGGGGATACCACTCTCGACCATTCCAAGGCCTGCCAAACTGCTCGTGCGAGGTCCGTGGCGAAATCGACGGTGATGTACGACTCTACACGAGAGAAGCCATTCGACCTCGACTGCGATTTAAAGATCCAACCGTGGATGGTGCGCAACACTACTCTCTCCACGCTGCGCGCTCTGTGGAGAGCCAGATCACGCTGCGCCGCGTCGTCGATCTTGAAGCGCGGCACGTCATTCGGCGGCATGATGAGCATCGAAGGCGGCTCAGCTCGTGCGTCTCCGTTGGCGATGGCGACGAAGTAGTCGGTGCATTCGCCTACCGCCTCCCTCAGAGGTTTCCAGGGACCCTGACCCCAGAAAGCGTCGCAATCAACCCACAACTTTGCCTTCTCTTCCAGCTCGTCCTCCTTCGGCGCTCCCTTCCCCCTCGGCACAAGTGGACGTCATTGCCCTCCCGCTTTCTGTCTCTTCGGCCATTGTCACGGCCAACGTCGTCGACCCCCGGCCTGTCTTCCGCACCTTCGACGACTCCAGCTTTAGCTGTGTGATCTGCCGCCGCCATCCGACTGGCGCTGGCCGTCGCGTCGCCCTTTTGCGTGGGCGTCGTGTGCCCTCCCCTTGATGCCAACACGTGTTGCAGGGGGAGTGGCTGACGTGGCTGACCTTGGCCTGCCGCCGTCGAAAGTTGTCCCGCGACCCGCGCGCCCGTGACGACAACCCCTGCCGTGTTTGGGGTCCTTGGCACCGTCCCGGCAGCACCGCCAACAACACTGCGTTTCACTCCTTGCATCTGCTCCCTCGACACTCCATCCCGCCCGAAACCCAACCTCGCGACCCTTGCCGTCCCTTGCGCGTCCACCATAGCCACTTCGTCTGCGAGGAAGTCATCAGTTTGTGAGGCGCTGGCGTCATCGATGCGCTGCCTTTTCAACTTCGGTATGTGGCCTCTGCCTTTGTTGGTTTCCCCGCCGTCGCCCACCCCGCCCTCTTTCCTGCCCCTCGCCGAGGCGCTCCGTGGGGGCATCTGGTCCACAAATCGAAATCTACGACGACGTAAACGAAGGCTGCCTTCGACGAAAGAGCACGGAGGATGGAGGACGACGTGGATGATGCAGATGACGGGGCAGTGGTCGTGGAGCCGCGACGGCGATGGCGTCCGAAATGGAGATCGCGGACGACGAAACACGTTGGCGGAGGAGCACGTCCACGAAGGATGACGTCAACGAAGGAGCACGTGGACGGAGGCGACGTTCAAGTCCTTGAAGCGCGGCACGTGGGCGAAGAGGACAGTTGTCGCGACAGGGACGAGGGACCACTTGTTTGATGCGCAAGAAGGGGCATTGCCCGCGCAGCACGATGTGGGAGCGTGGAGCGGCGAAGCGGAGTTGCAGGCGCGCGACGACGAGCAGGTAGGCCGACGGTGCGAGAGGGAGCCGTGGCTAAGGAATCACTGCGGTACGGAATGGCAGGCGGAATGTCCTATTTCTACCTACTGCGATGTGAAAGTACACCATGGACATGAGTCCCCGACCACTACAGCCCGCCCCTTCGTCGCTCGCCCATGGTCCGTTTTCCTCCGCAGGAGCATGTCATCCCTCGCATGGCCAACATCGAAAGTGGGCGCGCAGAAGGACCCTAGCGGAGGTCGAAAAAGCCCGCCAAACCAACGACCCCCTCCCGCCCGAAAAATCACACCCTTCTCCGAAACCCCCGGAGTTCGCCATCCATGCGTGCCGGCAATGCCTCACTACAGCAGTCGTAATATTCTATAAGCAGACGACATACTATAACATCGAAGGACGCGCCGCGGGGCATGACAGCAATCACACCCATTCTACAATGAAATCATCAAATGAATGCATACTTAAAAAAAAAAAACCCTCGTGCGGCCAAAAAGCAACCAGCCGTCTGTACACAACCTGCACATCTCGTCACTGCAGCACGCAGGACAATAACGGCACGCATTGGGGGGGATGTTAAGACGTCATGATCACTCGCGAATCGTTTTAGCTATCTCCATAAGTGCTTCACACATCATCAAGTTCGCCTGGTCGGCCTTAACGTAGTGTTCCTTCTGCACTTCAACCTCGCGCTCCAGAATGTCGCACTGCCTAGTCAGAATTGAGCACTGTCTCTTGCTCGCGCTGTCCACGGTTGTCGCCATCAGACTCCCGTGCTCCTTCATCACGTCTGCAATCGTGTCGAAGGTCTGTTGTCTCACATTCTTTCGTTTGCTGCCCCCGCCAACACCACCGCCGCTGATA